ACTAATTTTTTCAAATTGAGTAAAGGTGCTTATTTCACGCCAGTCTTATTGGATATTTGGAAATTCAAAAGCTGTCTACCATTTTTCAGGCTAGTTGTGTTCCTGGTCATCTTTCTCTCCTTTCTTTGGGTGTCAACATTGTCCTTGGTTTTGAAAGCATCTTCCCTCACTTATATTTATTCTCCCTAGTGTGTTTAGGATCTGTTTTCATTAAAAATCCAACCCAAGTTCTTTTAGACTCCACAGATTCACTTTCCAGTGTCTTAATCATCCAGTCCTCACCACTGGTTCCAGTCATGTCTTGAGCATGTCTGATGCAGTGGTAGACACTGCATCAGTCTGGATGCAGAAGTTAGTTTGTTTTGAGCTGTTGCWATTACTCATGGATGGCTGGCAGGAAGTTTGGTATTGGGAATGCCTTGTTCTTTCCTACTTTCAGTGAAAGTTTGGTTGTATGAGTTTCCTTTCCTGATGTGGATGGCAGTGACTCTTCCTTCCTCTGGCAGTTCAGCTCTTGGAGTACTAAGGAAATGAACTATTCATTTTAGTCAGAGACTTTTCTTTCCATGATTTTCCATAGTCTTCTCTTTAGCATGCTAAAAATTAAGTTTAGTGGTGCTGCATTTTGTAGCAGACAGAATGGTTCAGTTTCTTTCTAGTGGAGCTTTCCATTAAAAAGATACTATTTTGGTTCATCATAATTTTTATTTTTCTCCTTGAGGTGCTTGACTTTTTGGAAAAGCTAAAGAAGAACAAGTGTGTTATTATCAGGAATAAGTCTTAAGTCACATTTAAGATATTAATAGTTTTGTATGCTTATTTTGAACTCACAGTTAGGAAGATACAGCTTTTGCAGTTTTGAATTGGTAACCTCCTGTTGCCTGCAGATGCTACAGCCTGAATTCATYAGAGCACTCAAGTGCAGCCTTAAGTAAAGTGTGTGAGTGTATTCATTATGTTTGTCTAGACTGTCCTTTGAAGGATGTCTCGAGTCTGTCTGCAAAAACAATTTCACTGCACATAAGGACAGCAAACCCCCAAAAATAAATCCAGAGAATTTATGCCCAAGCACTCTCTCAGTGTTTTTGTGGCAAGGTGTTTCCAGACAGTCTTTTTGCAGGAGATGTGCGTTGTAGCTGCAAGGCTCTGATGTGGGTGGGCTGCCAAGGGCWCACAGTGGACTCAGAGGTTTCTGAGCCTACACTTCCAAAGGCTGTGCAAACAAATTTGTTTACAGTACTGATTTCAGTACTCAGGAGGGTTCCTTCATTAGAAGCAGRCTTCAGAGGTCTAAGTGTAGATGTGGTACCCAAGGAGTGGAGAAAGCTTGGGCTTTAACAAGTTCTTTGATTTTTTTGCATTTGGTAAAGATGAAAAAGGTGGGTAATCTTTATCATCTCTATGACAGCAGTCCTGACACCGCTAAGAAGACTCATACCGGTTTTCATTAGGGATTTGGCACTTTCCTCTCTTAGATACTGTTGAAAATAGCATATGTTGGTTACTGCATGTGCTGTAGAGTTCCTGCTGGCCAAMGTGGAGAACGAAACCCGCTGTGAAACCCTGAGAGCTGGCTCAGGTGATGGCTGAGCCCAGCAAAGGGTGGAATGTGCTGTCTGGCAAGTAGAAACCTGGCTTCTTGCTATATGCCAAGGGTGGTGGCAGGCAACAGCAGCTGGATCCTTGGAGAGAAAGCTTGTGAAGATAGTTTGTATAAATGGTGTTTGGCAGAGAGATAAGATTTGTGTTGTGAGTGTGCAGAAGCGGATACTAAGAGCGGGAGTTTGCTTGGGATCATTCTCCAGCGCTGGCTGCAYACTGGAATTCCCCCAGTCCTGCAGACAGCAGTGTAGGGTTGTGCCTCTTCCTTGGAAGCCTACTGTTGTCACTTGCAAGCCTCATGTCACAGGGACTGTGKTCTCTAATAGTAACTATCTGCTTGCCTGTGTCTGTGGCATGGCCGTGTCACAAACTGTGCTCATCAGAGACARGCAAAAGTTGTGTTCTGCTGCTGAAACAGAGGTTGCAATGAAYGTGAAGAAAAATCCACACACTCTGTATACACAATAAGTTCTTTTTTSTAGTTTGGTAATACCCCGTCAGATTTATTTCTTTTCCAGTCAGAAGCACAGCTCACTTTATGGCTGATCTCCATTTCTTTCTGTTTTCTGGCAGAGATTCCTTTTACTTAGAATTCATGTGATTCATGGGTTATAGGCTCATCTGTTGAAGTACAGTATGACTGCAGAGGCAGTTGTGACTGCCACCATGGTTGTAACCTAATCTGCATAAAACCCCAGAAGAATCAGTGATTTGAAAGAAATTCCTACCTGCTGTTTGTGTAGGATGACCATCTGTCTGGCAAATCCCCTGTGGAAGTCAGATACATCTGAGAAGAGCAAGACACCTTCTGACACCTGTTTCTCCAGCAGATGTAGTTGCTTATTCTGCTTTTTATTTTATTTTTTTTTTCAGCAGGTGCTTTGGAGATTTGCTTTTGGATCGACTTTCAGCAGCTTTTGAGTACTGGTCTGAGCACTGTGTACAATGCAGGCTCATTCTGACCAAATTATTCTTTCTCTTCTTTGACACAAATTCTGGGAGGTCTTAACTATARCTTAGTAAGTGCTCCTGAATCTGGGCACCTCAGTTCAGCCATARAAACTGATAAATACCCAACTTCTTTAGTTCCAGAAAATGTCTTCAGAATTTCTGAAAAACACTGGCTTTTTTAAGATCAAGTGGCATCTTCTGTTTGAGGATCATTCCACATATATTCATAAATAGTTTTCAAGATGCAGGAGAAGACAGTAGACATGTCAAAGTGGTAATTTTGAAGGATAATCCTTTTGTCTGCTGGAAATTTTATAYCTTTAAAAGCCTGCATTAGTATCAAAATGCCTTTGGCGCTCTGCTCTGAGTCTGTGTTCGTACATGTCAGTTTGCCTGTTCAGATCTTCTTATTCACAAAYTGTCCTCAGTTTCTGTGTGGCTCTCAGCTCTGATGAGATTTCTGCAGCTCTAAGTGTCTGCTCTTTTGTGCATGTTACACAGCATGGAGCACCAGATTTCTTTGCTGGAGAACCAGCCACGATAATCCAAATAAAYACCACCTTCTGTAGATGAATTGTATCCACTGTAACTAAAGGTTAAGGTGTCATCCAGAGATTTATCCTTCCAAATGCATTTGTTGGACTACTGTGACACAAACATAATTTACTGCCTTGTGTACATCATAGGCTGTGTCCTCAAAATGATGTTTGGGGATTCACGATACTGAACAGGGTGAATTATGTGTCAAATTATCAACTGTCCTGTTTGACATTTAGGTAGTGCTGACAGGAGCTGGGCATTTAGCAACATGAGGCTTCTGCAGMAACCTTTTGATAGGATTGTTTTATTTCAAAGCTGCTGTTAATGGAACATTTCTGGAGAAAAGCTGCAAAATAGACCAGCGATTGCATTGACTGCTGTGCTCTGGCCAGCCAGATGTGAGCGGTGTGTGTTGTGCTTGTCATCCTCCCTGTAAATTATTGTCAAGCTGCCGCCTCCTTAATGAAAATCCAGCCAGTTGAAGGCAAGAGATACCTTGCTGTAAAGAGCCCCTGGGTTAGGAGTGCCTGACARGATGAGAATGGATCCTTGGAGAGGAGTAAGTGCCTCGTACTTCATTATTCCCACAGGTCTGAACACATTCGCTGAACTAAAGAGGTTCTGTGACTATGCAGGCACATTCACTTCCTCGAAGTATATTCCTATCTGGAAACATTTAATGAAATATTTTCTTCCTGCAGTTTCTGCCTTCCTTTTGTGACAGTTCTTGATTGACTGGAATAGTTTATAACGTTTTCCTTGGCCATTTTGTTGGTGTGTGCTGTATGACCCCGTGCTTCAAGTGGTGCTTTGCAGGTTATATCTGCTGCTGGTGTGAGGAACCTGGTTTTGATCTAAGTGACCACCGTGGCTGCCTAGGTGTGTCACCTGTGGAATTAAGCTTCAAATTAAAGCCATTAATTTAGTAATTCTGTAYAACTAAGAGAAGGATTTTCACTGAGGAGGTTCTGACATGACCCGTGAAAACAAAAGGGGACATGCATCAGCTGCTCCCATTTTTGCACCTCTTCCTCCTTCCTCAATGCTGCAAGTCTGGGTAACACAGGAGATGGCTTATTGCATTGTTTGTGCATATGATCAACCAGGCAAAGACAAAATGAGGACACACAAGGAGTTTGGCAATTGTATTCCAGGACAGAGTTCCTGCCCTCCTCAAACTGCCAAACCCTCTGGCGTATTCTTTCAACTTAGRAATTGAAAATGCATAGCAGAATCTTTTCCTAGTGAGTTATCTGCCCCTTMTGATTTTCAGCAAGTGAAAAAGAAAAGCCATTGCCTCAATACAGATATGCCATCCTTACATTTAAGTTCCCAGAAGGCCTCTGACTATGTGACAAGAATTACTGTCATGGATATTGCGTAATGGTTTATGCATAATGTTTAATGCAGTCCCAGTTTTATGAAATATGGATAATATTGGAGACATTTTGAATAGTAGTTTAGATTTACACTTCCTCTTTAAGGTGGAGACGAGGGACATTTTTAGTGCTCTTCAGTGACACTGGAAGAGCTGAGATTGTTACTATTAACAATGAATAAAATCCATAGAARTGGAAAAGAGAAAAATACATTGCTTAGATGGATTATGGGCAAATCATAAATGTTTAAAGCATTTCTGGAGGTTAGAAATGCTTTGCCTTTATTTGAATACCATAGCTATCTCAGYACACTTCCTCACCACTCTATCCAAGGTGTGTTGCTCCTTAGTGTGGAAGATTGGGACTTAACTGAGAGGACACAATTTTGAATAATCTTTCTTCTTGTCAAAGATTTACTATAAAGATTAAAGCATTCACACACAAAAAAAAAAAAAAAGAGATTTGGTGCATGTGTTACATATGTTAAGGGTCAGCTCACACTGTATGTATTTGTTTTGTGGCACACAGGACAGCTTTCCAGCTCGGTTTGGAGGAATACATTTCGTCAATCAGCCRTGGTACATCCATGCCCTCTACACAGTTATCCGGCCCTTTCTAAAGGAGAAGACACGAAAAAGGGTATTCTCTCTTTAATTGTCCATTTCCTGGCAGTTGTTGTCAGCAGATGCATCATATTCTAATAAAGTAGATAAACATGAAATATTAGCTTGCTATTGATGGAAAATGTTTAAATGTGTTGGTGTTGTAAAGGGAACCTTCAGCTTTTTAGAAACTTATGCAACGTTATCCTTTAAGTCAAGCTGTGCACTTAAATGTATTTTAAAATGTAAGCATATACTTGCTCCCGGGGGTTATATAAAAAATATTGCCAACATTACAGTTTCTATTAAGATTGCATTCAATTCCATTCTATTTAATTTTTGTTAAAATTATTTTTGTCTTTCTTTTAAAAACAGCTAGTGAGTACAAAGTCCTTTCCCAGTGCGATTTCCTTGACAATAGCATGAACTAAAATACCCAGCTGGCATCTAGTAGTATTAGTTAGCAAATACAAATTTGAATGAAAGCCAATAAAAGCGAATTTGTGTGCATGCATCTGTGCATGAGCATGAGCAGCCTCTGAGACGTTGCTGAATTTGTACCATTTGCATCAGTGCAATTAAATTAGAGCTTGGTGGTGATAGCATATAGAATGATATTATTTCTGCAGCAGCAACTTTGTCATCCAGGAAAGCACAATCACATCATGTACAAAGGCACTACAAAGAATAGGATGAATTTTTTTTTTTTTTTTAATGGAATCAGCCCTCTAAGCAGCTCTGTATTTTCTCTCGTCAAACACAGTCTGCAAGGCCACAATGATCCTTGGTGTTCAGCTGTTTTTTACAGACAGATTATGCTTGTGAGGCCTCTGGTATTTACAGATTTTGAACTATAGATCACAAAGCCTTTTATGTAATATCTGTTATAAATATGCAAATGAAGCCCCATTTTGCAGGATTCGGTTGCACTCTGTTGACTGCAGCTTCTGCAAAGAACATTGTAGTGCCAGAAATGTCTGAGGCCTTTTCAACTTGAGGGCTGCATATGCATAACCAGGGAGTAAAGTGCAGCTCATAGGGGTGTCACAGCATTAAAAAAAAGTGACAAGGCAGCTGAACATGGGTGCTTATCATTTAGCATCTGAATTTTTATTTAGACACCTGAAWCAATGGCATATATTTCCAGAAACGCTGACTTTTTACAACTGTTTTTTTTTTGTCAATATTGAATACCTATAAAAAGTAGTCAGGTTGTTAAATATTGATTTACAGTTCTAAACTTAGAGTCAGAATGTGAAAGTTATGACCAGTGCATAAAATTTAAAATCAGCTTTAAAAAAATGATTAGATGCAGAAAAATAATTGTGAAAGAAGTGCCCATACAGAACAGAATCCTCTTTAGATTTTTTTTATCAGTCCTATTACATAGCTGTCGTCTTTATTCTGAATTTGTATGTATTTTTAAAATATGTTGGGTATRTTTGCAACTGATAGCTATATTCAGATAAATGCAGTACCAGGCATATATAAAAACAATTGCTAAAAAGTGAAACACCTGGAAAGGCACCAAATAGCAAATTATTTTCATCATTAATAAATGTTCTTTCACAAAAGGATAAATTCCTTTGTAAATTGGAAGCAAATCTCTGGTTTTGCATGGTCATTCTAACTTTCCTGCCTCCACAGCTGACTGGAAGATGGTCTGAATTAAGCAATAAAAGACAAGTGTATATCTGTTTTTTGTCTTTTGCCTTTTGAATTTAACTCTTGATAAATGAGGCTAAGGGTATAGCTGCCCAGAGGAGTCTCTGCAAGGTGAAGTAAAATGGGAAAGATCTCTGAGGGCAAATACTAAAGTTRCACATAAACATAAATACAAGTATTCATATACATTCTTATAAATATACAGATAAATAAATGTAAAGTATGCATGAATATCAGTCCACCAAACATTGATGGAAAAATATCAAATAGTCCATCAACTATTCCCTCAGTGTTGTCACAGGAATAATTTTACAGTCATTACTTACTTAATGTATTGTCAAGTCTAAATGGCAGTTACCGGTATGTCTAGATTAAGGAAGAAAATATTTCCAGCACTGTTATCATAACACTGCACAATTTATCTTATTTATAGAACTCATGGCAGGATGCTGAAAGTCAATATATATTCTTTGTTGTATATGTTACATATTATTTTAAATTATTAATTATAATCTTAGTTTATTCGCTTAATTTAATTCACAGAGTTAGGGAGAACAATTAGCAAGCAATAGGGCATCTGCCTGTCTAATCTTCTGTCCATCTAGGGACCAGACACCAGTTCTTACCCTCCATAAGTCCCTACCCTTGCAAACATTTTACATTATTTGTGCTTTAATMATTTTGGGAATTTTTGTACATAACATGACCATGCTTAAGGCAGAGGTGACTGTGCCTTCCTCTGCACCTCTGTTAGCCCAGCACAACCACAACATTTAAATTGTGCAAAATCCTCCTAATAGTGATGGTGTCATTTGAGCTTTGATGGGTTTTGGTGATACCCCTGTGTTTTTCCCTGCATCTCCCGTACATACAGATATTCCTGCATGGTAACAACCTCAACAGCCTGCATCAGCTCATACACCCTGAGATCCTGCCCTCGGAGTTTGGAGGAATGCTGCCCCCCTATGACATGGGGACRTGGGCAAGAACACTGCTTGACCATGAGTACGACGATGACAGTGAATGCAATGCGGACTCCTACAACACTCCTGCAAAGGATATAGAAAAGGACCTCTCTCCCAAATCCATGAAAAGGTGAGTTAAAGGTACTGTTGTCCTAGTATTGACATAAGGTTAACATTTGCCTTCCTCCTCCTTTATGAAACTGTGGGTAGTTCAGTCTATTATATGTGAGGACGATTCTTTTTTTCCTCTCTTAAAAATATCAGTGTTGATGAGGGATCATGGCCTCGATTATTACCCGTGTGAGTTGTGAACTCAGTGCAGCTGCTTATTTCTGTGGTGCCATATAGGTTGTGTACACAGTACCGTGTTTGGAATAAGCTGCTATCCCACCTCAGCCTACAGTGTTTATTAGACAAACAGTGCTAATTGGAGTGAGCCTCTGTGCAGAGGATAAATTAGGGCCAATTATCTTTCTGGGTGGTGGTGTTAGCTCTGATTTTCCTCCATCTCATAGCCCACTGCCTGGTATCCGCCAGCCTGTAGGTGCCAGGACCTTTACAGCATCTGAACTTTCAGTCACAGTGACTGCACACATGAGAAAATATAATGAGGAGAACCAGGACCAAAATCAGTGCCAATTGTTATACTTGGTCTGGTAATCATCCTGGCATTCTGATATTCTTCTCTTTGAGCAGGTACAGTGTAATTGCTTGCTGCATTTCACCTTTTAGAATAAAGTATAGGAAGAGCTTAGTTATCTCTCTGGTAACTATGGAAGCAACCGAGGTCATTAACTTGGGAGGGGTGAATCTGATCCAGCCTTGCCAGGGCAGAAGGAGAGAAAAGGGGAAAGATTACAACTGTGATAGAAAAGGTAGCAGAAAGGGCAGCAGAAAGGGCAGCAGAGTGCAACTCATAAGGGGCAGSCCTAGCAGTGGATCAGAAAAGAAAAAAACAGGACAGAATATATAAAGTCATTAAAATTAAGTTAGGATATGCTAGGCCTGAACCCAGTTTCAGGAGACAGCATGTGATGCAGAAGGGAAAGAGACTCTGGAAACAGATCAAACAGGATAAAATATTTTCAGATTTCTCAGGCAGGAAGACRATTTTGGCTGGAAAATATTGCGTAGACTGGGAAGGACAGTGTGGTTTAAAAGGGAGGTACTTTTGTGGAAACAGAGAAGACAACATGAGATGGCTATAAGAGAAAAAAAAAAAGAAAAGAATGCAAAAAAGTTTAAGGATTTTGTGTTGAATAATCCTACACTGCATTGAAAGTGAAAAACAGCAAGAAACTGGATAGGAATGAGCTAGGATAAGACGTTTTCTGAAGCTGTGTGACAGGAGCACTGGAATGGCTGCAAACTTGGTCTCAAATTCCCAGAGAGAGAGTTTGGCTATAAATTCCCAGACCTCCAAAATTCCCCGTGCCCAGATATATGAAGCTGGAATTATGTAATTAACACAATTAATTGAGGAAATGGGACAGAGAAAAAGAGCCATGGGAAGGGGAAAGGTGAGCAATACACTTACATATGATTTACACATAACACAAGAATTCTGAGACAATAAAGAAGCTGTCTTAGACAGAAGGATGGCTTTAAGGAATTGAAATGCAAAAGCCTTTCTGCTGCAAGATGATGTTGTGAGAGTAAATAAATTCATCCAATGGTGCAATAAAAAAAGAAAAAAACGAGAAGGCTTGTAACATGTCCCTTTGGAGAAGACTGGAGCGGTTTCCCAGATTGTCCTGGGTGACCCTATGGAAGKGGAAAAGCATTGAGTATACCAGATTCTTCATTCTTTCTCAAATAATTTTTATTCTTCTTTAACTTGTTCTTGAAAACGCTTTCATACAGTATTAGACTTAAGTGTAAGCTTCAAATTGACATTCTTTCAGTCTGGGTAGTTGACAGTAGGAGACCTAGTGGAGAAAATAAAGAGTGGGGATTGACTCCATTATCTACATAATATTAAGCTAAGATTTCTTCACTTTCCACACATTCTTTCTCAGTTAGCATGCCCCCAGCATCTGCTGGAATCCTTGTTCCCTGCTGATGGACATAAAAAATACTAAGTAGACTTACTGTGCTAGTACTAAGTACTAAGATTGACAGGAGAGTCACAGAAATTCATTGTATTAAGTGCACAGACTCTGCTAAAACACAAATAGAAAAGTTAAGATGAACTTCATTTAATTAAGAACCAAATTCAACTTGCATTCAGCAAGTAATGGCTTGTTTCTCTCAGTTTAAATCCACAGTTAATATGATACGTTAGTGCAGAAGATTTTTAATATATAAAAAACCATGACTAAGTCAATGAAAAGTGCTTAGCTTAGAATAAATTTCACAAGCATCTAGCAAATCTCCTACAATKATCTTGTTTTATTTGGCTTGCCATTTTAAAATTAGTTTACTGTTCCAAAAGAATGTCCTTTTAAAACCGAAATGTATTGAGAATACATTTCTTTCTTACTCATTTTTTGYCCCCAATGTGAAGCACTGACATTCCTCCAGATCTCCRTGCATTTTTGGTGAATTGGATGACSTCACCTTGAAAGGAAGGTTGACTGGGGGATGAGGGTGGAGATAAGGAGGAATTAATCCACCTGTAATGCGGGACTCTGGGGAGAACTTGTTTATGTCATCTGGCAACATTTGAGCTGTCTCAGCAGCCAGGTTCAGCCTGTGGCTGTGCTCACCCTGTTATGGGGTGTTATCTCAGCTGTCATGGCTGAGATGCTCAGCTGGAGACCTGCATCCTCTTCTCATCTAACCCAGCAGGGCAGATGTCTGTGTTGATAAACTTTGTGGTTTGGTTCCTCACCTCTGCAGTGGGCTTTGTGGTGTAACTCTATCCCGCTGTGTTTTCTGAGAATGTGTTCTGTAATGTCTGTAAAATTATTTGGGAGATGTCAGTAGAATAGAAGGAGCTATAGACTTAAATGTTGTTTCCTTTCACACACTTTCATTTGTGAATTGATGCTGAATGGGATGAGAGTAAATTTCTATTTAAAACTGAATTCAAATTATCTCTCCTCCTTCTTCAAGGCATTTGGGCATCTGAGCTTACAAGCCACAGGTCAGGATTTGTACAGTTCGATTTCCACACCTAACTTGGCATTGGGGATTTTAGAGGCTCTGGGAATTTATGGCCGAAGCTTCCTCACTAGGAATTTGAGACCAGGTTTGCAGCCAATCCAGCTGCCCTGCAGTTTTCCCCAGATGAGAACTGGAAACCCTGCCTGCTCAGTCATTGGCAGCTGAGGGAAAGGCTCAGTTTTAGCACTTAGATCCAGTTGGCAAACCTTTGAAGTTAATTTGCTTCCACAGCAATTTTTATCACGATGAACTGGATTTTCCATGAGTGCAGCTTCCCACCAGCAAATTTTCAATCAGCTTTGCATTGGCACGGTACCTTGTGAAGATTTTAGAAAAGCATTTTTAATTCAGTGGTTTAGTTTTTCTGCCTGAGGAACTGACTAGTGTTCAGGACAAATGTTATTGTGCACTTTTAATTAAAATTTTTTAAATTATGCTTATCACAAGAGAGACCATCATATTTTTACAGCTAATTTTCTTGGTTTTAGTGTTAATAAGAGAATGTGATAAATATTAGGAAATATCTTTGTGTTTAAAGTTTTCTCCTAGGCTTTAAGTCAGATGTTTTTTCTTATGTTTTTGTAAGTTTTCTTTAGATTTTTTYGAGAAAGACCTCATCAGCTTCATTCATTGGTTTCACTGGATGATGCCAGTTTATAAGATTGGGGGATTGACTMCATATGCTTATCTTAGGAAAGGTTAGAATTCATAAAGGTTTTTCTCTGCACTGTAGCCTTCTAAATGGGCAAATCTGTAGCAATGCTGCGGGCACAGTGTGCTTCCACTGATCAAAAATAAATGCACTGTAGAGAGTACACATGCTCTTTAGTCATCTCAAATCTTCTTTGCAGAAAGAATCCTGCRTGAGATTCATCTCACTAAAGGAAAMATCCAACAAKGGTTGCATTTMCTGTAYCCTAGAAGTGRMTGGTTTAAGCTGAGCTGTAGCTGATGTGAGACCTCATATTAACACTTTAGGCTTTCTTTTCATGGAGCATGTTGTTTTTACTGGAGAATGGGTTTTCCTTTTTGTCCATTGCATACAGTTCTTGCAGGGTACAGATACCACATTATACTTCTGGGCAGGATCAGAGAATCTTGAGAAATTTTACAATCATCACTGAATTTGCCCTGATCATCCTTCYCTGCCCTGTTCACTTAAGCTGAAAAGTGAATTTGACACATTTGTCTGCTGCTCCAGAAATCCCGTTAACCATGGCACTAATTCCTAGGTTTGGCTTAGGATCTCACRCTGTTGAATTTAAGTGCTATTCAGAAAAGGAGCAACTTGTACTTCCAACGAACACATCCCGCTAATTGCAGTGTGTGATTTGCCAGCTGGGTGGCTGAATTGCACCTTCCTTGCCAGCCCAGTGCTATATAACCTTTGGGAGAGACAGTCAGTGCTCAAGTCACTAAGGAGRACAGCTTAATTTGCTCTTTTGTGTGGAGGATACACCCTGCTTCATGATTTCACTGAAGAGAAGATCCACTTTATTCCACCTTTTGCTCCTATATTCACAAATCAGCACTGAGCCCTTTAAAGCCATGATATGCCTCCATGTGGGTGTTTCCTGAYGATTTGCAATGATCGGATGCTTGGGTAATGCTGTACCATTATTTTTTAAGCCCTGACAGAAATTAAAATAAACAAAAGAAAGCTGAGGTTTACCCTCATTTGTCTTGTTTTATAAATGTCAAATTAACATGTTGTCCCTCTGCAGGTCTCAGTCAGTCGTGGATCCTGGGGTGCTGAAACGCATGGATAAGAATGAGGAAGAAAACATGCAGCCTTTGCTTTCACTTGACTAACAGTTTTTGAGCATTGGACATGAACTGAGGTGGAAGGCACTGCCTCTCAGCAACAAGCAAATCGTTGGAAAAGAGTGTAACAGCTGGAATCCTATTTACTCATGTTAATGTAGCATAATGGCAGCAGGTTTTACTATTCTGCCTGAATTCTGGATGCCCTTTGGTGAAAAAGAAGTGGAGAAAAAAAGAAAATTAAATTAAAAAAAAAGGAAAAGGAATYAATAATTTATTCTGTAAGTGCCAACTTGTTTGTAAATACAATATAATCCTCCGATTTTACTTTGTAAGTTATGGTAAACAAGTGCTATGGATATGAGTGACTATTAAATATGTCAGTGAAGTGCACCATAAAAAGGAGAAGAAAATATGTGTGTTCTCTCTCTCTCACACACACACACACACAAACACAAACTGAACAAAGAAAACTATCAAAGCAAATTAAATATTGTCCTTCCCATAGAAAGCCAACTAGTACATTGACTAACTACTGTTTTTTTTTTTCTGCAATGCTCATGCAGTTTGYAAAGATAAAGAGGGAATATAAGAACTTGGGAGAAGCTGTAATCAGTTGAATGTTTCCTAACTGTAGGAATTGGTTTCCCAAATAACACTGGGGCTTTGGGTTATGATTTAGCATAAACCATGTGCATTGTGAGAAAGGTCAGAGGTGAACTGGAACCACCTCTTGGATAGCTTTGTTGTTCAGCTGTATGGATCTCTGAGGTTTCTTCCCTAACTTTTCATTTACACAAGTAACCTGGCTTGTTACCATTATCTGGGTGTTGGAATGTGGGACACACTGGAGTTACTTCTCTTGAGTTTTGGGTGCACATCAAGAATTTTTCCATCACTCTGTTCTCCCTTGGAACGAGACATTAGTCCTCTGAATACAGTGTAATAACCAKTATCTGAAAGTAAAGCCTTGCAGCAGAGGTGAAAAGTTAATCACTGAATCCTGTGCACTGGGAGACTGGATACATATATATATTTTTACCAATCTCTGAGGAGCATACAAGGTGACATTGTTAGATAAGTATATTTCATTGAAGGTTTATACAAGAAATCATACCTATTCAATGTACTTAGATATATTATAGATTGTATATTGAGACAACATCATTATTAATATGGTAAAACTTTCCATAGATCAACAGCATCCCACTCCAAGCAAGGATTTATATGAATAAGTTGTAGTCAAACATCTCAGCCTATGTGTTTAGGACACCTTTGTTTTGGTTGTAGCGTAACTGTATATATTGAACATGTGCCATAATAGAGAAATACATTTTACCTCAAAAGGGCAACAGGTTTCACTAGGGATTGGGTAAATCAGATAAAACATAGGGGCTGTGTCATCTTTGTGTGCTGAGGCTGATGTGTGCGCAGCCTGTGGTGTGCTGAGGTGAGAATGTAATTCCTTATTAGGACTTCAGTGGACAGAGTAGGAAGACACACAGGGTGCCCAGCAAGATACCTGAATAATTAGAGGGTTTGTAGGAGCATGGCCAGGCAGTGCAGGGATTAGTTGAGAAAACACTGACCACAGTGAAGGTGTTGCAATCCTGCCTCACAAGTGCTGGAGTTGTTAAAAAAATTYTTTCCATCACTTCAGTGATCAGTGAAGTTTCAGAGTTACTGGTTGTAAGCCACCTCTCCTCATCCAGGAGGATTACAGCTGTAGGACTTGGTAGGCTGAGATGAGTTAAGAGCACTGAGTGAAATGTTGAAAGTACGTGGTCTCGAGTTTAGTAGTAATTCCTGTAGCAGAAGCTTCAGCATTTCTCAGGGCTGAGACGACCCTGACTCTTCCAGCATCGCCCTSGACTGGCCCAGGCAGCACACAGAGAAAGCTTTCCTACTTCACAGGTCATTAGCAGTGCTGATAAACATTGTATGCCCTAACACTCCATCACCTTGCAGGAACTTCTCTGAACAATTCACTACCTTTCTGCTTTCCTAATTCTGTTTTCATGACACGTGTTAGGAAATGCAGAGAGGAAAGATATGGAGCTTGACTACTTCTGTGGTTTGAGAGACTTGAAAAAATGGTCAGTTCTTATATACTATTCTATTCAGTTCTGTTTTTCACAYTGCTTGTAACATCATGCTCTATAAGTGAGATGTGTCTCCAGTATTTGTGTAAGTGCCATATTTGAATGTATGTTATATATTTCCACACTTCTGGTTAGYAGAATACTCTATTGTCATTGATATGATTTTTAAATCCTTATCAGATAAAACTGAAACATCAGTAGAAATTTTCTCCTTACAAGGGCTTTGGGATTTAGTCAGTACTCCACAGGTATACAAACTGTGACAGAGTGGTGATCAACATCTTCATGGATCCTTTGGGATGCATGGACAGACTTTGGTATAAGACAGCAGAATGCTGATTTCAGAGTAAATCACCTGTCCAGTAAAAAAATGCAAACCTGTTCCCCTGTATGAAGCTTAAAATTTGTTTTGAAGCTTATAAATTTGTTTTGTTTGAAAATCCTTTATTTGTGCACTTAACTGTAATTTATGTAATATTTTCTGATGCCTGATTTTAAGGTAATGAGTATTAATACATTCTTTCCAGAAAGTGAAAGTAGGATGTATTATAATTTTGTGTAACTGGGACCTCATCTTTCAGCAGGAACAAAATTGCATTTTCAATAAGATTCACTCTGTTAAAGAGTCGGGCTACAGGTCTTTKTGGCTGCAGCTTTCATTTCACTGAAGCAAATTCTGACAGTGGCAATCACGGTTGTGACATTGAAAAAGAATATGAAAATGGGTAAGAGAAATAAATATACTTTACCTGCTCTCTGTATTCTTTGAAGGCATTTCTCTTTTACATATCAGGGTACATAAAGGGTTCCACCTTTCTTGTAGAAAATCTTTATAGGTAGCTCAATTTTTATTAGATGAAATTTGGACTGAAAACTTTTTCCAATCTTTATTACTATAGGAATTGCTGTCTAATTTTTATAGTAGAATTGAAGTGCTAAAAATAGAATGCAGATGCTTGGGAGGAACTCCTTTTAATTTCTTACCTTTCTTGTGTATTGGATAGAATAAAACCTTGTAATTATGCATGCTGATATGCATATTAAAAATATCCTGCAATATGAGGAACTTAGTGGAGAAACTGGATATGCCTGTCCAACTATATAAAAAAAGGAGGATTAAAAATAAAAAAAAGAGATTGTTTTGGGCATTTTCTTGACATCTAAAAATATCCTCTAACGTGATGATGTTTCCAAGACACAAATATTCGAAAATACATGTAAAAGTTATGGAAACTTCCATGACCAAAACCTCCTTGTAATCAGAGACATCAGKAGACTCTTGGCTTTATGGAGACAGGTAATCAAACCCACTAAGCTCCAACAAATACACAGACTCCCAATAGTTATTAGTTGTAAAATAGTCTGAGATGTCTTTACAGAAATGTAAATTTACTGTATAGCATATTTAAAAAGATGTTTTGCACTCTACAAACATGCTATGCCTAGTCACAAACTGAACACAGAATTAAAGAAAAGAGGAGTAAAAGGGGGACCTCAAGGGGTCACTGATATGTGGAGGAGCAGATTCACTTTAATGTCGCTCTCAAATKGTTTAGCTCAGTACCTTGCATGGAATGCTCTTTGTGTTATTTAATCACAGTCACACCAAGCCTAAGCACATTACCTGACAAAATTGTAACCTGACRGTATTTTGTTCATGCCTTTTATTATTTTCCTGTTCTGTTTGGGAAATTAAAGTTTGTCAAGCATCATAATAACYACCATTTAGCATTAATTGGAAAACACTTTGCAATAAGCTCTGGTCATATCCCTGCTATTATATTGTTTCTGTTATTATTGTCATCCATGTATGTATTTGTCAAGTTTTTTGATAAAGTCATGTTTGAAAGAGCATGCAAGAGAGAAAAAACCAAAATCAATCAGACTTCAGGATTTTGTTTAGAATATTAAAATGGGATTTTTAGGGGGATGCTGAGTTTGGATTTTATATACTTTAATTGCCTCTGGGGAGTGTTCTGCTGAGCAATCAACAGTGCTGGGTACCAAGACAAATTTGGAAGATAAATATCAATATGAAAGGCAAGAGCAAAGGTCTCAGAGGATTGTACTGAAAAAGCCMCTTAATCACATGGCTAGCTGGATCGGGTTCCTCTAAAGAAAAGTATTTTGCAAGTAGCTTGTTGGTGTGTACTTCTGGTGCTGAGAATAGTTCTTTTGTCCATAAATTTCAAAGCACTCTGTGAAACTGAGAAAATAATAGTTATCCCATTTCTCAGGTAGCCAAACAGAAACACAGCCAGTTAAAGACATTTCTCAATGGAAGACATTTTTCTATATGGCAAAGATGACACTTTGATCACTCAGTCTGATTTCAACTGCAGAATAAAAGATAATGTGTCCCTGTTTTGTGTAAGGAGGTCCAGTTGTTGATTCCCTGATGCTTGGTTTCTTTAGAACACTTTACCATGAGACCATTGCAAACCAGGGGTGTTCTGCTTTCCTGTGGAGTTAATTTGGAATGTACAATTAACCTTTTCTGTAGAGGCAATGGCAAAAAGGGAGTATGTCCCCCAAATGAAATGCCTTTCTTCCCTATCGAATTGTTGGGAMAAAAGGTAATTTAATCCAAAAACCCCCACAAGGAAATGTGCCCCATAAAGAATTCTGAACTTGGTCAGGAATGAAACAAGATACTTCTTTCCCAATAGCTGTACAAGGAATAACAACATTTTGTTTATAGAGAAATGCTCAAGTGACTGCAAATCAAAGTACAAGCCAGGTAGATAGGATCCCACATCTTGTATTGCCTTGTAGCTTTGAATGATCCTGTGTCGAGGAACTGTATTTAGCAGATTTACTTGGACATTCCCTTCAGTCTGCATTTCACCTTTCAGTTGTGTGGGAATTTTTTTCCTATYAGCTTTTGGTATCTTAATTTGTTTCCTTCATAAGGGTCTGTTGGCACAGAACAGCATTGACCCCTGTTGGATTGCACAATTTGCGAAGTGATTTTGYTGTTAAAAAATAACAACTTGTGCAGTGCAGGGCAGTGGTGAAATGGAAACGTGGGTCACAAGTTCCCATTWTTTTGTCACTCCTCCTCCAGTGTTTTGTGTATAAACTGCTTTGCTGGATACAAGACGTGCTKACACTTGCATGATATGAATTTAAAAACAGAGAGAAAAGAGGTTCTGTATTCAAAATCTGAATTGATGCTATTGCTGTGGAATCCAAAGGGAGCGGGGCACTGCACACMGGTGAAATAGAGAGACCTTCAAGGGGAGATGCTGACAATTCCTTATGRCACACATTTTGTTAAAATGTGGCCAAAGTATTTTGTCTGCGGGGGTGGTGGTCAGCCAGATCTGTTTTTTTCAAAATCAGTCATTTACAATAAGTCCTCTCTAATAAAGGTATGACAAAGCTTCCTTTTGGTGATAGCAGAGAATTCACTTCCAGTGAATTGACATATCTGTCAATTTGCAGCAGACAAATGGCGAGAGTTAATTAGGATTTTTATTTGATATGGAAATTCTGCTGTGATTCCTTAAAGAGGCTGTCGCATCATCAGCAACACACAGCAGTGCCTAAAGGCAGGCATCTCGAATCAGGTCCCTTGGTTAATAAAAATTTAAGGGTAGAAAAAAGCAAGGGAAGAGATAATAGAAGATGATAAAACACAATAATTAAAAAAAAAA